ATCATTCTAAGCAACATATGGCAATCTGCGGTCTTTCCTTGCACTTAGGTGGCACGGAAAGCCGTAAAAATCTTGAACAAAAGCTCATCTTTCAAACCGGCAGTCTAAATCCCACAGGGATCAATGAACGCTTTTCATTCCACTAATTTATTCATGTTTTTCTCGTTGCCATGCACCCACCAATAACGTAGCTCCATTTTCTGCCTTTAAAAGCACACACAACCCACAATTCCTCTATTCGCTCCGACGAAGGGCTAACGCTCGAAACGTCAGCTTTTGTAATCATTACGGTGGCCAATTTACCATTTCAACTTTGTTGATATATCCAAATTATTTCGTTACTCCCACCGACGCAGCCCCAAACAGTTTCTTTCGAAACTATCAGCCTCTTTTCATATATGCTTTGTTAGCGGACATTTGTTGGTCATTCGTGCACGTAACAATACAAAAAGTTGATAATCATCCATCCATCAGCATGCTAGACGTGAATCAATCTTTGTAAAATCTTAAATCCTTTAACATTGTAAGTTGATGGAATAAGATTTTATTCTTGTCAAATAACAAGCTGTAAAAACTACGCCATAATTATAAAAGGTAACTGTAAAATGTAATGGCTACAGGGTTTTAAAGTTGTGTAATGGGACTAAAACTATTTGATTGGAAATCATTGAAAAATATGCTAATTATAAATTATGTTGCTAAACAGTTCCGTTAGACAAACAGATGAGTACATGTTACATGTTAAATGACCAAAATTCCACAATCAAGAAAAAAAGGGATTTGGCAAATGAGCTCTCCGATACCCCTGTGCATGTTTTGTACGTCCACATAACAGACGTCTAGTTGCTAGCTGAATATTGGGTGAAAATAACAATGTATAGGATGATTCCACAAATGATAGCTGCAACATTGAGCCACTTGGCAATGTTAGAGTTTCTCAGGGAAGCATTACAATCTCCATCACCATATGAGCTGTCCACCTGCAAACAAAAAAAACGAAGAAAGAAGATTATATTACTGTACTAACATAAAATTTTTGTAGCCCTAATACTGATTATCTTGCAACCTTTGAAAAAAATCATGAGCGATTTACCGATTTCACAATGGTTTAGTGTGGTCTGTACTCTGACCGACAACGATATTTGTCATGGCGGTGGTCAAAATGTTGTGGACTCACGAGGCGCATTACAGACCACCTTAAACCACTATCGTTTTGTTTTTTGCCATTTCAACATTTCCGAGTCATCCTTGTTTGCGACCTGATAAAGGCATTGCGTGACGCGTTGACGCAAGCAGCGTTGTCCGCACTCTTATCGACAACGGCAAATTGGCTAATCAGGCAGATCGGAACATTTCTGCCAACTGCGGCGTTAAAAATGTTGAAGATTGAGTGAGACCTAAAAATGGTGAATAAACTAATAGTTACAGTTTCCAGGATCCAAGGGGAGCAAAAGAGAGAAGAATTTTCTGTGTAGATAGGCAAGGCAACGTGCCGACTTTATACTTCTTCCGGCGTGATAACGATGATGATGACAACAATGGGTAAAAAGCACCGTCCGCTAATAACGACGATTATCATAGTTACAAACGAAGCTGAGTTATAGCCCTTAAAAAAAATCTCAGGAGGTCTTTTGAACCATCCACTTCATCTCGCCAGAAGTCTAAGTTGCTCACACTCATTCTAAGGTTCGTGCGATTTTGCCACGAATTTTAAATTCCGATGTGTTGCGCGCGCGACTTTTGATAGAAAAAAGCTGCTCGCGCCATAACTAAAAAAAAAATATAGCTGAATGAATGAAATTTCTATCAAAAGTTGCGCGCGCAACACCCCAGAAGTGAAAATACGTCGTAGAATCGCATAGCTTAAAGTAAACACGCGCTCTGATTGGTCAATACGTCAACCGGAAGAGAGGGTATTTAGCGTGGAATCGCACTAATGCATAAAGCGATATCGCTGGCGTGGCGCACAAAAATACAAAACATCTGGTTTCGCCCAAGGATTTGGTGGCTTTAGCTATGTGATTCAAGAAAAATTCACGAGGTACAATTGAAATTGTCGACGGTTCAAACGTGAGCAACTTACCTTGCTTTCCATTCCCTTAACAATTAATGACAGTTCTGACAGTTGACTTTAAAATGGCTCTCTTAACGGCGCGCGTACGGAATAATAACAAACAATAACATTGCCGTTTTAATTTCTTGTTTTCTTATTTTTATTCAGTTATGCGATTCAAGAAAAATTCACTACCTGACTCGTGAATTC